ATTGTTGAAAAGAACCATTCTTATCAGCAGACAGGTTAAAGAGAGAGGGGAACTCATCCTTGAGATAGGCAAATCCACACCACTTCTCATGCCAAAATCTGATACGACTACCATCCCCAACCTTGATTTGGCAGTTTTCCAAGAAGAATTGAAACGTATTCGAACTATGAACTCCTATAAAAGTAATATCCTTCCATACCCTAGAGTGCTTGTAGGAGGATTGCACAGGAGGATGCCAACACTGTACCTCAATTTTATACTTGCTGCAAATAACTTTTTCTCCATAACGCTGAGATTTGATTTCCAAATTTCCATCACCATTTGAGAAGCAAGCATGCATTAACATCCCTAATCCTTTTGATGCCCAAGCCCCTTTGGGCAATACTCTTTGTAACCTCAACCCATTTTACCAAATGAACTTTTCTTTTTAGGCCATGACTACTCCACAAGAAAGTAGCCTCAATCTTTTCAATTTCACGAGCCACACCTTCACCTTCAGGCATCTTGAAAAAGGAAAGATAGTACACAAGGAGACTCGAGAGGACAGACTTGATCAAGGTTAACCTTCCGGTGTAAGACAACATTTTCCTCTTCCAGCCTGAAAGTCTAGATCTAATATTATCAAGCACAGGCTTCCAGGTTGATTTTTTACCCGAGTTGGCTCCTAAAGGCAGCCCCAAAAATTTCAGTGGCAAGCTTAGTTGTTAAGTCTGCTGATCTGTTAGTCTTGGTGATTTACTACTAGTTTGCTCTGTTGTGGCTGTAATTTGGTTGTTAATGCTTTTGGTTTTTTGTTTTTCTCTTTTTGTTGGTTTCTCACCAACTAAAGCTTCGAGCTTGAGCTAGCTCTGAGCTCCTCTTTATTGATGCACTCTACCATTTTTGTATATTTCCATCAATAAAGATTTATTTTGCCAATCAAAAAAAAAAAAAAAAAAAAAAAAACAACACATACAACACCGATTTCCTAACACATGTCCTCGACAAACCATATTATCAATTGTAAGGTTCCAACCTAAAGCAGCTGTCCACTAGAAGAAAACCACCTTAAAAGGAACTTGAGGCACCCAAATACTCCTTTAGGGAAATTCACCCACCACCTCCCCCACCAAACTCCGATAAAAGGATTGAACCGAGAACTAACCTTTGGTACCCACCACATTCCAAACCACCACATCTTCCTCCCTATCCGAAAGCCCAACCTATACAAAAATGTGAACTAACAAGGAACAACATATAATTTTATATATTATTATATGTTATATTTTTTAATATTATTAATTTAGTCAATATCAAATTTTTATTCTCATCGAATTTGTAAGCCTTTGGCATGCTATTCTAATGAAAAATAAAAAATTGGAACATTGCGTGTCACTAACATGTTCGATTCCTTTAACGTGTTCGGTGTGTGTTCGTGTCAGATACATGTCAGACACCAATTTATAACTTTCAAAGAGGTGCTCATGCTTCATATCATGACAATAGCACTAGTAAATGAGAGTTTAAATGTTATGATAGTATGTGGAACTATATGATTTAGTGGGGCATAATGGAAGGTAGTGTTGCAAATAAGTTAAGTCGAGTTGAACTTTGAAGTGCTCTTGGCTCATTTGTTTTGGAGCTCAAAAATTAATCAAACTCAAGCTCTACTCGTTTTAGGTCATAGCTCAATAACGAGAAAAGTATGAACTCGATAATAAAATTTGATCAACTCGTTAAATATCATTCTACATTACAATATGTATATATTACACATACATTATTTAACATAAAAATAATATATTTATCTTATTATTAAATAAATAATAAATCAAATGGACTTATTCTACCTAAAGTACGGCTCGTTATTAATCAAATTGGTTTTTATATACAAGTGAAGTTGAGCTCTGTTCATTTCTCCTTCCTACTTAATTTACATTGCAGGTGTTTGGCAAAGCTGCTAAAACAGATTATAGATTATAACTTTAATAAGAAGTTGTTAATCTGTTTGGTGTAACTGCTGGATTATAGATTTAAGTTGCTAAGTAGTGTTTAGTAAATAAGTTATGAAATAACTTTTTGAATTAATTTTTATTTTTTATTATTCACTATTAGTCCACACACACACACACACACACAAAAATCCATAGTCTATTTGAGTCTTTTTCTATTTTCAAAGAAAAAACAAAATCCTAAAAGTATAATCGTAAATTAATATGACCACAGCAGAAGTTGAGAATAAGAAGCATAGACAAACAACTTCTTAGAATTAGCTTTTTATGAATTAAAATAAGTTCCTAAAATCAAAACCCATTTAAAATAAGTTTAACCAAATTATGGGTGTAAACGGTTCAGTTCGGTCGGTGTTAAGAGTATATTTAAGACCGAACCAACCCTTTTGGTTTTTATAATTGAGAAACCGATACAGACCGTATGCTACGGTTCGGTTTTGTCGGTTTGATGTAAAAGAGAAATTTATATGAAATTTTAAAAGGTTTTATAGTAGATTATGAAATTTTACATTGAAAATAAATGAAGAAAATATATAAAAATTGCTCTATGAATGTTGTTCTTCCTAATTTGTATCACAAAAGTGTATTATCTTAGTTACTTCTCATATAATGTTTAAGAAATTAAAATATAAAATATTTAAATATAATATGCAGTTGATTCGATTTACATCGATATAACAAGTTTTAAAATTAAAACAGACCATATGTTATGAAAAATAGACCAAAAACTTAAATTTCGGTCAGTTTCAATCGATGATTTCGATTTTATCAAATTTATTTTACATTCCTAAACCAAACCGTCTAAGATAATATTTCTAAAACTAGAATTTATAAGTTGCCATAATTAGCCACACTAAACACTCCCATTCTTTCATTACTATGTATGGTCACTCGTACCAGCAAAAAGAAGGATATGAAATCAATCTACATAAAGTCACCTAAAAGCCTGAGCCAGACGAATTGGACATAAAATTAATGAACGGTACGAAGACAAATGTAGGACCACATGCCGTGTAGGCGAAGCGATAAAATCCTTTAGAGATGAGCAGCGGATATATCGATTCGTTAAAATTTATATTTTGAACAGATGCGTGATGACGAGCGGATGGTTGCGGATTGATTTTCTCCAATCCGCCAATCTGGTGGGCGGATGACGGATTTGAGATTCCTTTGGCTACAACCGAACCGCCAAATCGCGAACACCCCTAGTAATTTATAAGATTTTGTGTTTTCAATTAAAAAAGAATTTAAATATTCTGTTGAAAAAAAGTTTTCAACTTGAATATCTTTTTTGAATTGAAAAAAATAAACGTATTATTTATCTATATTTTTTGGTTTTTAAATCTATCTCTAAAAATACTAAATAGAAAATATGATATATGCTGGTTGGTTTTTATTTTCAAAAACATATATAGACGTAACTATACAGAGGCATACAATCTCTATTACTGCTATGTTCATAGTTTTGGTGGTTTGAATTGTTTTTATATTTTAAGAACCACAGATTGTAATACTTTATGTAGATGAGGCATGCTGTGATTGTAGTATGTGGATGAGACATGTAGTGATTGTGATATTTTAAAGTTTCAAACTTTCTTACTTTTGATAAGGCGTGCAGTGATTGTAATATTTTTTTAAGTCATTAACTGTAATACTTTTTTCTTTTTCTTTTTTTGAGGAAGTGCACAAGTTGAATTATGTTGAAAATTTATAAAATTTTAAACCGTCAAACCAATTCATATCCATCCGCCAAACCGCCAATTCGCTCAATCCATATCCGCCGGATTAGCGAACGGATGCGGATTGATTTTCTCCAATCTATCAATCTGACGGACGAATAACGGATTGAAAGTTCCGTGACTGCAATCGACCCGCACCCACCCCTAAAATCCACCACACTCAAAACAAAAAACAACTTACAAAAAAAAACAGGGAGCACCAAAAGTTTCGCAACGGTGGACCAACTAATTCTTTGTTTGGTTTATTGAAATTGACATAAAATGATCATTTCTTTGTCTATGTACAAAGGATCATTCATTATTATAACCTGAAATGAAATGATTATTTTTTAATTTTCATAAAATAATTTTAACAATATTATTTATTTTGCCTAAAAAGGGTTTGTTTAACTATTTTTTCATCTATGTTGTTTATTTTACACACGACAATGCTACGTAACTCAAATTTTGTGGCTCGAAAGTGGCTCAAATGGCCAAAACGACATCGTTTTGAGTACAGAACAACATAAAAATGGCCAAAACGACGTCGTTTTATATATTTGAGCTACTTTTGAGCCACAAAATTTGAACTACGAGACATTTTCCATTTTACACATATCTATTTACATATAATGTTTAAAGAGCCTATCAAAATTAGCAAAAAAGAATTTTGTTAAAATAAATATAATAGCGAGTCAACTAGAGTAACTAAAATACAATATGACTAGTTACAATATTAACAAGAATCTCCTTACGAGATTGTGTTTAGTTTATACATTTGAGAATGATTTAAAAATGAAAAGAAAAAATATGTGTGAAATGTAAATAAAATCCACCAATTTCAAATTTATAAAACAAACACATTCTAAAGATTAGAGTTGATCTCATTCAATAATCATTCATCCACAGTATATATTTACTATTTTTTTTAAAGCTGTGTTTGTATCCCCATCTAAAAAAAAATTGTGCTTGTATAATGGATTTGAGTATAAGATTTAGGGTTGGTTTGGCATAAACTAAATAATACAAAAAGTTAAAAAGTCACTATCCTATTTAAGTCACATCATCTTATTTAAATCACATCACCTCTCTAACACATCATATCAAACCCAACCCAAACCCAACTTATATAAACCAATAAGTCAAAAAATACACTTCTTAAAACATTCCAAACCAACTCTCAAAATCGGTATCACTCACATGTAGTTCACTTTTTTTTTTAATCTCTAACTAAATTTATATCAAATACATGATACAAACACAGCATTAGTTTTAATCCAGAGTGACTTACAAGGATATTGAGCTTGCCATTGAAGAGAGAAGAGACTTCATCCAACATCTTCTCTCTTTGAGGCCGAGACGATACATCGCAGACCGAACCGGTGACCGTGAAACCCTTGGCGGACCATTCCTGCAAGCAACGACTGAGCTCGGATTCGTTGCGAGAACAGGTGTGCACGATCGCCCCTTTATCGGCTAGTTCCTCCACAACATCGTGCCTAAAATACAATACAACCAATCAATCAATCAAAACCCTAGAAAACATGAATCGTCAATTTCAGGCGGAGAGACAGAGAGAGAGATGACGCATATACCCGATGCCGCGAGTGCCGCCGGTGACGAGAGCGGTCATTCCGGCGAGAGACCATCTCAAACCTCTCTCACTGCTGTCCACCTTCTTCGCCATTTTGACTTTCTCTCTCTCTCACTCTATCTCTCTCTGTGCCTTGTTTGGAAAGTTTATTATTTTAACTGGTAATTTAGCTTTTTAATTATTTTGGGTTATTTTCAAAAATTAGTTAAAAATTGTTTCTTTTTAATTTTTTTAAATGTATAAAAAAAATAAAAATATGATATAATTCAAAATAGATTAACAGTTAAAAAATAACTTTTAATCATGTTTCTAAAATAACTTTTTAACTTGTTTAAAATATTTGTGTTTAGAAAGTTATTTTTTTTTTATAATTATCAAATTAATTATAAAAAAAATAAAATAATTATAGTTTAAATATAATATTTTATCATGTTCAATATTTTAAATTATTTTATTCTTCTAGTAAGCTACTTCTACCTCTATACACCCCTCAAACACTCATTTTGTTTGGAGAGTTAAAGGTGAAATTGAGATTGGTAGTAAGGTGAGACCCACTAATATTGTGTTTGTTTTGAGAGATGAGAAAGGGATTAATAGTGAACTCCGGTTTAGGATAGGCCTCCCCAAGGGGATTCAGATGGGTCTCCAGGACTTGGTATTAGAAAAATAATCCGGCAGACTAGAAATTTTTTATTTTTATTTATTTTTTATTTTAATTTTTACATGTTGGGCAATTTTTTTTGAACATTAATGTTTAATTTTTTGTATTTTTTGTTAAGTAAAAATCATTATTTTATTTGTTTTATTTTTTTTGAAATTTTTTTATTTTATTTTATTTTTTAAAATTTTTTTACATGTTGGGCATTTTTTTTAAAAACATTAAGGAAAAATTACTCATAAATCTCATATTCAGAAATGTTGGTCCATCTAGTCCTAAGTGTTTTTTCTTAAACCATTTAATCCTTTTTATTTTTGGTATGATATATATTTTTGATTTATTTTATATGTAATTTACATTCTTATCCATATTTTGTTGATGTTCGATGTTCACAACAGTATGGTCTTCATGGTCGATTTTGGAACATGGTCTTCATGTTTCTGTTGTGAACAAACATCATGGTCTTCATGTTCACAACAGTATGGTCTTCAACAACAGTATGGTTGTTGATGATGTATATTCTTGTTGTTGTTGCTTCAATCTCTCCACCCATCTTCCATGTAAAACCATCTATATCCATATATATATATCTTCATCACAACCATACCTATCAAAATGCACAACACCCAGAATCAAAACCAGACCCAAAACCACATTCACGGCGCTGATGTTGCGATGTTGCTAATGTTCCGATCTCACGGCGCTGATGTTGCGATGTTGATCCAAGTGCTGCTATTTACCCATCACGAATTGTAAAACAGAGACGAAAAATTGATGTTGATGTTCGAATATATAATCGATACAATAATACATCTTCAGTTCTGACTTGTGAGAGAGAGAATTATTCAATGTTTGATGTTCGAATATATGGAATCTATTCCTTAATGTTTGATGATTATTTAATGTTGGATGTTTGTTGACGTTTGATGTTTGTTAATCTGGGGAAATTATTTAATGTTCCGATGATGATGTTCAATACATTAAATTATTCAATGTTTGATGTTCGAATATATCGAATATATTGAATCTATTCCTTAATGTTTGATGTTTGTTAAACAGAAACCCCTCTTCCCCCGTTGCCCACAAACCCCGACAATAGCTTTCCATCACACTCCATCAGATAACTTGATGATCGAAGAAAAAGTGAAAGCGGAAGAAGTAGGTGAATCGTCTCACCGTTTCTGCGAGTTTTGCGTTGAGAAGAAAGAAGCCGATGAAATGTTCCAAATCGATACCTGTTCTCACTCCTTCTGTTCCGATTATGATGTTCAATACATTAAATTATTCAATGTTTGATGTTCGAATATATCGAATACATTGAATCTATTCCTTAATGTTTGATGATTATTTAATGTTGGATGTTTGTTGATGTTTAATGTTTGTTAATCTGGGGAAATTATTTAATGTTTGATGATGTTCGAATATATTGGTGATGATGTTCGAAAGTTGATGATGTTTGTTTATGTTGTGGTGTTCACAATTTTTTTGATGATGTTTTGTTGATGTTGATGATGTTCACAATTTTTTTGATGATGTTTGATGTTGTTGACGTGTTTGATTATGTTTGTTGATGTTTGTTGATATTTTAATGTTTGATGTTGTTGATGTTTTGATTATGTTTTGTTGATGTTTGATGTTTGTTAATGTTTGATGTTCATAAAGGAATGAAATCTAAAAAATGCCTATAGTAAGCTTCTTGGGCAATTCTGTAAATTACACATAAACACCAACCCAAAATTATCCCATCAATTATTGACCTTGTCGCCTAAAAAAATGGGTACTAATGTCTTTACACATAAAATAGGACCTATTAGTCCAACAAAAAACCTTCAGGACTAAATGGGTTAAGATTCCTAAATTCGGGATTTAATGGTGTTTTACCCAAACATTAATGTTTAATATTTTGTATTTTTTTTATTATTTTATATTTATTTTATATAAAAATAATTTAACAATCCCTATACTAACAATTATCATCAAAACAAACACAATTTTACTTAGTCTCCTCACTATCAATCCTCTCACTACCAATCCCCTCCATTTTACATCTGAAAATAAACGGGGGCCTTTGTCTCTCTCTCTCTCTCTCTCTCTTGAAAATGTTATAAATTTTAAATCTTCGTTTGGCAAGTTGGTTTTGAGATTTTTTGGATTAAAATAGTCACAAAAAATTAAATAAGTTTTTCTACCTCAATAACACAAAATATCACATCAAACCTATAATCATTACATTCTTTCTCTCACAAAAAAGTCAAAAATTTTTCCCAAAAATTTTTTAATCCCAAATTAAAATAGTTAAAAAAATTAAAAAAATCAACCTACTTTCTAAACAAAGCCTAAATAATTTATTAAATTTTTTATCAAAATTTTCGCATGGCTTTTATTATTTTTCATTAAAAATAACACTAGGCCTCAGGTTGGGCCTTAAGCGGGCCGATAGGCGGGCTCACAGGCCGGGCCAAGCTTCAAAACGATGGCCCTGGCCTAAAGCCTCGGGCTCGGGCCCAAACGGGTCGTGGACGGGCCGCGGGCTAATTTTACACTCCTAGCTTTTAGAACTCTTGTCCCTTATCCGCTTATCTCGGATTCCGATATCTTCGGAGGCAACCTCGGCCTAGCCGAGATGACCTCGGCACAACGACCAAGGCATGTGGCACCTCGGCTGACACGTCGGCGTCACCTTGCCACGTGTTGGTACTCAGAAAATATATTCACTAAGTAGATGATCCAAAATTTTATAATATTTTTAAAAAATTAAATATTTTTTTATTTTTTTAGATGCACCTTAGATATATATAAAAAGTAAATATTTGTAAAAAAATCAATAAATATATAAGAATACAAAAAATATATTGAATTCTCGTATATTTTTTTTATATTTTTGATATTTAATAAATTTTCTAAATTATTTTTTCACAAATATTATATTTTTTAAGTCTATTTATATTAGAAGTATCTAAAAATTAAAAAAAAAAATTGCTTAGAATATTAAAAAAATTCAATAAAAAAAATAATTTTCTAAAAAGTGAATCTTAAAAATTCAAACAAAACAAACTGAATATAATTCATACGGCTAAAAAAATAATGTTATAATTAACATGACAAGAGGAGAAAGGGTGTCGTGATAGCCCCGCTGTGATGATTCGATTGAAATTTGTATTAATTTTATTTTAATGATTCGAACTATTTATACTATAAAATTGGTCGAATATACGTAATTTTATGATCGGATCATTATTGTTATTTAAAAAGTTATTAAAATTATATTAATCGTTATTTATTTTAAACATAAATGTAAATTTGTTATAGGTTACACATGTTTAATTGACTTAAATTTGTCATGACGAATCTTACAATATAAAGGCTTGTTTTGGGAAGTTGGCTTTTAGCCACTTTTTTTGGTTTGTAGCAAAAGCCAAAAGTTGGTTTTTTTGAATTTTTTTCCATTTGGGAAGGTGGTTTTTAGCCAAGGGTAAAATTACAATTTTACCCCTCATGAGTCAAAATATACTACATGGATGAAGTTGTAATATTTTAAACTAAATAGGGATAGTTTGGTCTTTTGATTATGATTTGACATCATAAACAAATATTAATCAAAAAAGCCAAAAGTCACTTTTTACTAACTTCCCAAATCATTTGTCTAAAAAAGCCAAAAACTTTGTTAAAAGCCAAAAAATCACTTTTTACCATCTTCCCAAAATAAGCCAAACTATTTGAATCATCGGAATAGATTCGAAAAAAACCTCCACGGGCTTACAACATGGTGTTGTACCCTGTTAGGTTCTTAATCAACATATAATAAAGTCGTGACAAATATCACAATATGTATAATGAAATTATAACTAACGCCATAATAGATTATAACTAAATACATCAACGTAATAACAAAATAAACTCTGAATTTTTAAATTTGTCAATTTAAATTCTAAATTTTTTATTTGTTTTCAATCTAAATCATTTGTCTATTTTTATTAAGTAAAATCGATAGAATGTGTATTTTAGTTATTAAACTCAATAAAAATTGATATTTTAGACATTTTATGTATACATACATTGAGTTTAATAATTAAAATACTATTTTTTTCATCAATTTTAGCTAATAAAAATAAATAAATAATTTAGATTGAAAATAAATTAAAAGATTAGAATTTAAATTCATAAAATTAAAAACTAGAGATTTTATTGTTACAAGGTCAAACCTTGAAATTTTTCTTGTAATTATCCCTAGAATTTTCCAAAATTCTCCTTGCATAGAAATGTGCTTTGACATTTGTTTATAAAGGCTACCAGCACTACGGTTATATTTAGTTTGAGTTTTAGAATTTGTTTTTTCTTTTATTTAAAAGATTAAAAATTAATTTTTAAAAAATAAAACAAAATTAAGAAATATTTATATTTTTATATAGTTTTATTATTTGGGAAGGTCTAAATAATTTTGAAAAAATTCAAAAATTATTTTTTGATATTTATTTAAG